ACCTCGATGCCGAGGTAGTAGGAGTGTGCGCCGAGATCGCTCATTCGAAAACGAGCCGCCATCTCGTGCTTGAAGCTGTTGATGTCCTCTGCACGCGCGCCGGTGACGATCAAGTCGTCCACATACACGCCGACGACGAGCTCCTCCTTCCCCCGTCGCCGCGTGTAGAGCGCATGCTCGATTACGCACCGTTGGAACCCAAGCTTGCCCAGCGTGGCGTCAAGCTTGGCGTTCCACGCTCATGGGCCTACCGTAGCCTGTAGAGCGCCTTGCGCAGTTGGAGCACCCTGTGCTTCTCTCCCTTGACGGCAAAACCTAGAGATTGCCTGACAAAGACCGTCTCCGCCAGCTCGCCGTTGAGGAAGGCCGATTTAACGTCTAAGTGATGGACGCGCCAGTCCTTTGCTGCTGCCAAGGCTAGTAGCAAACGAACAGACTCCATACGCGCTACTGGCGCAAAGACTTCCTCGAAGTCGATGCCCTCGCGCTGGACAAAGCCTCAGGCGACGAGGCATGCCTTCTGCTTAACAATGGCGCCGAGCTCATCCCGCTTGACCTTGTACACCTACTTCAGGCTGATCAGACGGCATCCTAGAGGTGGATCGAGGAGCTCCCATGTCTCGCTTTCCTCGATCACCTTCATCTCCTCCAGCATCGCCCGTCGCCAGTTTCCATCGCGCTCGGCCAGCGCGAACGTGGGTGGTTCCTCAGCACTGATGAGCAGTAGCTCTGGGTCATTGAGCAGCCTACCCGTCGGGCCTGAGGGCCACCGATGATGTCATCTAGCCTGCGGAACCGCACCTCCTCACCTTCGTGGAAGGCATCCACGAACTCAGTGACGTCACTTGGAGGTGAGGCGAACTCGATCGGCATCGATGGAGTTCCCTGTTCCGCCGGAGTGCTCGGCACAACACCTGGAGTGCTCGGCACCTTGGTTGCAGTGATCAGCACTACTTCTGGACAGCTCGTCATAACTCCTGCAGTGCTCTACACCACTGTAGGAGTGCTGAGCCTCAGTCTTGGAGTGGTCGGCACTACTGCAACACCTATTGGCTCTGCTACGAGAGTGATCGACACCCGTCCTGGAGTGGTCGCCATCACTGTAGAACCTCTTGGCACCACTCCTGGCGTGCTCGGCACTCCTCCCTGAGTGCTCGGCATCCCTCCCGAAGTGCTCGGCACCGCCACAGGAGTGTTTGGCTCTGTTGCTAGAGTGCTCGGCACCCCTCCCGGAATGCTCGACACCTCTTCCCCAGCGTCTCCACCACCGTGGATGACAAAGTGCTCGACGATGAAGGTGCTGGTGAAGCCGCCAGCTTCCCTTGTGCTCGGACTGTTCCAGTCCCAAGCCGCCTTCTCATCGAACACGACGTCGTGCGAGACAAGTACCTTGTCCCCGCGTGGGTCATAGAGCCGGTATGACTTGGTACCCTCCGCGTAGCCCAGAAACACCATCGGTGTGCTCCTGTCCTCCAGCTTGGTGAGGATCGGCTTCGTCTTCCTGACGTGGCCGATGCAGCCGAATGTCCAGAGGAAGGACATGCTCGGCTTGTGTCCATGCCAAGCCTCGAACGGCGTCTTGCCCTTCAGGGCCTTGGTGGGAGCACAGTTGAGGATGAACACCGCCGTGGTAATCGTCTCACCCTAGAACCTTGCTGGCATGCCTTTGGCCTTCATCATGGATCAAGCCATGCCGACCACCGTCTGGTTTCGTCGCTCCACCATGCCATTCTGTTGTGGCGAGTACGGCGCGGTGTGGTGTCGTACCACACCCTGATCCGCGCAGTACGCAGCGAACTCCACCGAAGTGAATTCACCACCGCAATCAGTCCTCACCACGCGGAGCTTCTTGCCGCTCTCGGCCTCCGCGCGCATCTTGAACTTCTTGATCGCTGTCGCCGCTTCGTCCTTGCTCGTCAAGAGTTGTAGCCACATGTAGCGACTGCAATCATCCACGAGCCTGGAGGAAGTACCACCGACCACCGTTTGTAGCTGGTGTGATTGGCACGCAGAGGTCGCCGTGGACGAGCTCGAGAGCGTCCTCCGCGCGATACTTGGCCGCCTTTGGGAACGCCAGCCTTCTCCGCTTCCCGGCTAGGCAGCTATCACACAGCTCGCCTCCGTGCTTGATGTGGGGTAGCCCTCGAACCATCTTCTCTAGCCGACCAAGCGCGTCAAAGCTGAGATGTCCGAACCGGGCATGCCACAGCCACGGTTCCTCGGTGTGCCTTGCCGCCAGGCACACCGGCTGCTCTACCTTTAGGTCAAGCAGGTACAACCGGTTTATGGACCTCTTCACCTTGGCAAGAAGTCACTGCTCCCGATCCCTGATCCTAAGGACTCCGTCCTTGATCAGAACCTCGCTACCACTCTCATCTAGGTGACCAATGCTGATGATGCTTGAACGCAGCTGCGGGATATAATATACATCCGTTAGCGCGCGGTGCTCCCCGTTCTAGCACCTGAAGATGATGGTGGCGCGCCCTTGGATAGCTACCCTTGAGCCGTCACCAAACTTCACCATACTGGTAACATCGTCGTCGAGCTCGAAGAAGGCTGCATTAGAGCCCGTCATGTGGTTGCTGGCGCGAGAGTCCAGGTAGCACCACTGCTCCTGCTCACCGCCCATATGTCCGAGGTGGACTTGGGCGCGTGGTTTGTCAAGGTTGACAACTTTCAGGGCCTTCCCAGGTCCATCCACCGTCATCACCTCTACCATCTCCTCGGCCTCGATGTCGTGCAGTGCACAGAATATCGCCATCAGGATAGTGGCCTCATCATCATCATCAGCTTGCGCTAGATGAGCCTCAGCCTTCTTCTCCTGCTTGCAATTTGGGCACTCCCATGCCCAATGGCCTATCTTCCTGCAGCGTCGACAGGCGTTGGGGTCGACCCGCTTCTTCTCTGAAGAAGCCTTGCCGCGACGCTTGCCATCACCATCGTGGCTAGAGGAGGCTACCCTAGAGTTCCTCCGAGCAGCCCACTGCTCCTCTGTCAGCAGTAGTTTGTCGCTGTCCTTTGTTGCTGATGCCTGTTCCAAGCGCTCATCCACTGCCCGCAGACGGCCTGTCACATTCTCAATGATGAGGGTGGACAAGTCCAGCATCGTCTCTATGGAGAGAGTGATCTGGATGTACTTTGCCGGCACGGAGTGGAGGTACTTGGAGACCGCCTCCTCTTCGTCGATGGTGACATCGTGGCTCTTCAGCTTGCTGATGAGCGTCTGCAGGCGGAGGAAGAAGTCCTCCACTGTTTCACCATCCTTGAACTTGAGGTTGGCGTACTCCTGCTTCAGAAGCTGGGCCATCGCCTTCTTTGCGCGGTCGGAACCGACTCGCATCGCCGCAATAGCCTCCCACGCCTCCTTAGCAGAGCTTTTTCGCTCCCCAGCGGCTCCACTACTCATACAAAGAAGCGAGGATAGCCTCCAACACTGACATGTCATCTTCCTCATTGTTGGTGCCCTTGTCAACAGCATTCCAGAGCCGTCGGGCTCTGAGCTTGACCTTCATGGTCACCGACCACTCTCCATAGTTGGTGCGAGTCAGCGTCGGCCAACTGGTGCCGCTGATCTTCCGCACCGTGCGAACAATAACCTCCTGTTGTGGTTGGGCAGCCACAACAGTGCCACTGCTGTCGTCCATTTCCGAACCATCCGTCATCGCCAGCGGTTAGTCCGGCGACGGCGCTTGTACCGCTCTGATACCACTTGTTAGCCCACAGGATCATCGGCTCAGGTGAGTCGATCACTCATCAGTCTTGCTGACCACGGCCGACCCTACAGACGCTGTCCGACCACACACTATGGCTAGAGGTAGAAGAAGGGAGAGCAGAGCATACACACACAATAGAGACACCAGCGTTGGCCGGAGCTCTATATAGGAGATGGCAAATCTGAACTCTGTTTGTTGAGTTGCAGTGGCAAACTATATATACAACTCTACTCATCTAGTCTTAGTACAGCTGCCCTGCTGTAACAATGACTAGATAACACAGCAGGACTAACTTCTGCGTCTGTCCCTACATGTGGCTACAGTGAGGCAGGTGAGCCGTTCAGCGCTTGCCTTCTACAACGGCTACAGTACCACAGCAGAGAGCTTTTTCAACGTCGCCTTCCCTTACGGTGTGTTCACACAAGAAAGCAGTAGATTGTCTAACATTTACTCATGTCAATCTCTTATATTCTTCTTCTTGATGCATGCTGTACCTGGTCTGAAAGGGATTTGTCTTCCTCCATTTTGCACCTAAATATAAAATATTGTCAACGATAATAAAATTTTTGGAAAACGTCTTTTGTGTGTGATTTCTACACACACAAAAGTACAATTCCTTTTATACTTATTGTTTAGTGAGCATGTAACCTTTTAGGTGTAAATTAAATCCTTAATAGTGAGGACGAATAAAACACATGCTGTACACTGTAAATAAAATCCAACATCCTCAGGAGCTGCTAAACCTTAAAATTATGTTAAAACCTCTACTTATGAAATTGTTACCAATTTATCTGTGATGGATATTTTTCGCATCCAAAATTTCGGAGGTTGCAGATTGCTAGGCAAAAAAGTTGTTGGTGTGCATGGATTCTGTTTGTTGTGCTTGCAAAAAAATTATAATCCTAGGGTTGATTAAAGAAATGCTAGCAAAAAGCAACATAAGTCTGGAACACAAAGCGTAAACCTAACCAATTAGAATTTACTTTAGAAGAGTTCCACGAAACCAAGAACCGGACAAAGCCAAAGAAAGACAAATCAAATGCATCTAGCTTTATTTTCCATCAATTTGAATATTCGTACAAATTATATTTTTGCATATATGCAAATAGTTTGACAAAAAAAATGGTCCCATCATCCATCGCCTCACATGTAGTAAACGATAATGATATACACACTACCAACCTGCTGGCATTATTATTTTTGGGACCACACCTTTTCTGATTTCCAAGTTGGGGAAAAACATTCAGTAAAGCAATTGAATGGGTCATTACAGAATCAAACTGAAACTCAAGGTTTCCGTGGGAATTTGGAGAAATCCGAGCATCGCCTCTCCATGTACGCATTCTTCCCTTCCTTTGCTTCCTCAGTGCCGTAGAATATCAGGGTGGCATTCCCGCCAAGCTCCTGCAGCAGCGGCGTCGTCACTCGACAGTAGTTCACCACACAAAACAGAAGCTTAAATTGGCTTTGGCAAGCTATACCTGAAGACCTGCATGGCCGTCATCAGCAGCATTGAGTGCAGATTTCAGCACCCGGATGGCCATGGGGCTGTTCCTTAAGATCTGCCTGCACCATTTGACAGTTTCTTGCTCCAGTTGAGCAAGCTGCGTGTACAGAAGCAGTGTACTTGTCAGTGCATCAGCAGGATCCAAACGGTTTGTTTTTTGGTAACTAATTAATGATAGATTTCTGCACTCACTGGCACCACAATGTTCACAAGTCCCATTTTGTGAGCTTCATCAGCTGTATAGAACCGCGACAGAAACCACATTTCACGGGCTCTCTTCGGTACAACCTGGGCACGAGGGAAATAATTGGATTTGGACAGAGAATACCATGCTATTTATATCATGTATATGCTGATAATATGAAAAATGCAATACTGGTCCATGACTCAAAACACTTGATGGGATGATATGTTATTCAGAACAAACTCTTTGGGGTATTGAAGGTGCTTTGTTTCTTTTTCCGAACAATGTATGATAGGAGTAATGTCTCACTAGAACTAGATTGATATGTGTTCTAGCTAGGACACCGCGAAGAACATCGAAGCAAGGAACCAATAGACCAGCACGATAACTCACCAACCGGGACATTATTGAAGACCCGTAACCAGCATCAAAGCTTCAAACCTGTGATAGGAAGTACACAATGGGATGTTAAATACATCATGTTTACTGTTATGGTAAAAAGAAGAAGAAAAAGATTAGTTAATAAACATAGAAAGGGTAATTCTATTTCACTTTATCGGTATTTGGTATTATATGCATCCTATACACCAAGATACAAAATAGACCAGCTGAAAATAAGCTTGGGCCCGGTCTGCCCAAATGTCGCATTGTCTGCTGCAATTGTTATAGGGTAAAGTCCAATTTACACCCTCCAACTTTCACCAAAGTCCGGATTTCAACCTCGAACTTCAAAACCGGATAACTTTGGCCCTCCAACTCTTGAAACCGTTCAATTTCCAACCCTCTGGGCGGTTTTGCGGGTGAACAATAACTTTTGATATTTTTAGGAGGCACCGAAATTTTATATTATTTTTTCGAGCATCTTCACGTCCTCAAATGAAAAAACTCAAAACTACAAAGTTGTAGATCTCATCGAGGTCTACAATTTACATATAAAAAGTATCTTCATCCGACATTGTATTGAAGGGTTTTCTATTTTTTGAAATTTGAGTCTCATCACACGACAAAATATGGTGCTGAAATTTTATATTATTTTTTCGAGTATCTTAACGTACTCAAATGAAAAAACTCAAAACTACAAAGTTGTAGATCTCATCGAGGTCTACAATTTACATATAAAAATTATCTTCTTCTGACATCGTATTGAAGGGTTTTCTATTTTTTAAAATTTGAGTCTCATCACGCGCTGTCCTCAAATGAAAAAACTCAAAACTACAAAGTTGTAGATCTCATTGAGGTCTACAATTTACATATAAAATTATCTTCATCCGACATCGTATTGAAGCGATAATAATACCATAGCAATAACATGCTTTGGAAGTGTCGGATACCAGAAAATGGGGTACCCCAAGCAAAGATCGAAAAACTGCTTAGACCCTAAAAACAGAACCAACGGAATGAACAAACGAGGTCTCGGCCGAAATCTCCGATTCGCCCAAGACCCCGTCGCCGAGCCCCAGCGGAAGCAAACGATTCTCTGACTCGCCAGAGACCGCCTCGCCGAGGCCCCCGCGTCGAGGCCCCCTCGCCCGGGGCCTCGGAAGAAGTGCCGATTCTCCGATTCGCGCGAGGCCGGCTCGGCACCAGCCCCGTGGCCGCCTCTTCACCCAAACTGCTCTGACCGAACGTCTCATCCAAGCACCCAACCACTCCGACAGACGCACGATGGCACAGTACAGCGAAGTGACCGACTACACGCCAGTCGCGTCAACCTCCCGCCATCTGCGACGGCACAGAGTAGGGGTTACCGACCACCGTGTCTTTGTCTAACTCCCGCACCAAGGACATCACAACGTGGGGAGTCGAGAAAGCGGGTTCCTCAGAGCCTCGGAATTAGCGGACCAACCACTCCCGTCGCTTGAGCCCCTCGACAGAGCCTTGGATCCCATCGATCTTACTCCGCCTCGCCCGTCCGCCTCGCCCGAGACCCCCTCGGTAGGGCCTCGGACGAATTGGCCGCGCTCCGCCTCGCCCAAGGCCGGGCTCGTCCCGCAACCTCGTCGCCTCCGCCTCAAAAGTCTCTCTGGCAGGTTGTCGCATCCGATTAATGCGCCACCGGTTGCACCGCTTCGTAAGCCACGATCGGCGGTCTAGGCCGCAACAGAGCGACGGACAACGGTCGATCACCTTTTCTACCATCCCTCATCGACAATACAGTATCAGTATCACAGAGGCGCACGCGTCTCGCACTATTCCGCCGATGACCGGCCTGAGACCCGCATCCGCACTGGTCACTTCTCGGGCCTCTAACGACGGCAGAGTCTCGGCTGACAACAGCCTCTAAGACGACAGGCCTCGGCACGACCGGCCACGATGGCCGCCGAGCCTCTCGCAATCCACCAAGTCAACAAATGCGCAAAGATGTTACTTGCAAAGTGGAGACCATACCGATTAGACATCTCACGAGAACTCCCCACGCGCGCGCCATGCTGCTCCAGGAGTAGATACGTCATCGAATAGTCCTTGATCCACGTGTAGCTGTCTTATGTACTCCTAGTTTCCTCCCTGCGGCTATAAAAGGAGGCAGCCAGGACCGTTTCTAGGGATGATGGATAGAATCACGAATACTCGCACGAACAACACGCCTCATTCTGTAATTCATAGCACTTCCCCTCACAGAGACCTAGGACGAACTCCCTCTCTCGCCTAGCTTGTAACCCCCTACTACGAGCACCCCGGTGCAAGGAATACAAGAACATCTTCTCAGACTGGACGTAGGGCATCCATTGCCCGAACCAGTATAAACCTTGTGTCTCTTTGCATCACCATCTGGAATTGGGAGCACGCAAAGCACAAATTCACTAGTCGGTTAAGGACCCCGGTTCCGAAACACCGATAGTTTGGCGCGCCGGTAGGGGCCTCTGCGTGTCGCCTTAGTCATCCCACCAGATTTGGATGGCGAGATCCGTGCGATCGTTCGCGTCTCTCGGGACGATCGTGCTCGTTCGGGAGCCTAGAATTCATGTCTCTAGGGCACACGAGTACGACATGGTACTCCTCTCACCCAGAGCGCCATCAACCGACGACGACGTCTTGCTTGCGGCGGCACCGCACGCAGGGACGGCGGCGCCGCCGCCGCCCGCTCCCGTCAAGCTTGCTAAGCGCCGGCGTGGGCGAGTCCACCCTAACACCACGCAAGTACAGAACGCCGATCTGTGCTCCACCGGAATCCCATACCCCGCTGCTAGCACAGAGTCCCTACACGGGGACCTGTCTGGCTTAAGCCTCGACAGGGGAAAAGGGCCAGTGGCGCACAGCGACACCCCATCATCAAGCTCTGTCCCGCCTCCTCCCGAGGAGCCAGCTCTGACGGAGCAGAGCCTCGCGACGGTGCCATCCCCGTACCCCTTCGGGCTGACCAATATCGCCGCCTCCTACGCCACCGCCCTCGTCTCCATTCATCAACGTCATGCCCATAACCCCATAGTCACAACTCCAATCCACCCCCACTCTGACTCCTCGGAGGAGGACGAGGCGTGGGTTGGAGCAGACTTCTTCGGGATTCGCGACCACGAGGCGATGATGCACGCTTCATGATCGCAGCGACTCATCGCTTTGGCCATTCCGATTCCGATGGCGAGGACGCTTACGACCTGACTCGTGAGTGTTTCCACGTCGGACTCGGAATGCCAAGCACGGGCAACGATGGAGGAAGGGCAGCCAACGCCACACCACCACGCATGGGGTCCCGCCAACGGCGGCAGTATCCCCACCCCGAGCAACCGATGCATAGACCTAGAGCGACTCCGTGAGCTTCAAGCCAAGGTCGAGCAAGATCGACTCCTCTGCAAAGCAACTCCGAGCCACCCTCGAGCAAGAGCGGCGGGGCGGCGATGGCGGAACGGCCCGGTTGGGGCTCGCGGACGTCAACCGCCGCGTGCGACGATGAAGGGGGCAAGCAACCCCCAGTCTTCAATCGCGCTAGCCAGAACATCGCTGTGGCGGCAATACTGGTCCGAGCGATGCCCGAGCCCTCTACCATGGAGGGGCGACGAGTCCACGGCGAACTCCGGGGCCTTCTCGAGACTGTCGCGGTGCAGCAGGCCGAAAGCTCCGCGTCTCGACGACGCGGGGATGCCTCGAAACAGCCCTCGGTGCACGACCGCCTCAAGGCCCCCTCGGTGCACGACCGCCTCAGGGCCCCCTCGGTGCACGACCGCCTCGACGACCAACGCGAGGCGCAAAACGGCCACCACATGGGCGGCAGACGACGGCGCCACTACCATGATGGGGCCACCCGGGGCTACCGAGTGCACCGAGGCGGTCGCTATGACAGTGGGGAGGACCGCAGTCCTTCTCCCAGGCCGCCTGGCCCTAGAGTTTTCAGTAAGGCCATCCGCAGCGCCCGCTTCCCGACCTAGTTTTGTCAACCAGCGAATCTCTCAAAGTACAGTGGCGAGACCAACCCCGAGCTATGGTTGGCCGACTACCGTCTGGCTTGTCAGCTAGGCGGTGCGAACGATGACCTGCTCGTCATCCGCAACCTCCCCCTATTCCTGTCAGACTCAGCGCGAGCTTGGCTCGAACACCTTCCCCCTATGCAAATCCACGACTGGCGCGACTTGGTAAAGGTCTTCGTCGGGAATTTCCAGGGCACCTACGCGCGCCCCGGGAACTCCTGGGACCTCAAGAGCTGCCGCCAGAGACCGGACGAGTCTCTCCGAGACTTCATCCGACGTTTCTCCAAGCAATGCACCGAGTTGCCCAGCATCGGCGACTCAGAAATCGTCCAGGCATTCCTCTCCGGCACCACCTATCGAGACCTGGTCCGAGAATTAGGCTGGAGCGTACCGACCATGGCATCCGCACTCCTCGACATCGCCACCAGCTTCGCCTCTGGCGAAGAGGCCGTCGGGGCCATCTTCCCCAACAACGACTCCAAGGGGAAGAGGCGGGAGGAGACCCCCGGGGCCTCGACGTCTCGCCCCCCCAGAAAAAGAAGGGACGCCAGGGGAAACAGGAGGTTCTCGAGGCCGGGCTCGTCGCGGCCGCAGACCGCAAGAATCCCCGAGGCCCAGGGCTCTTCGACAACATGCTTAAAAGACCCTGCCCATACCATCAGGGCCCGGTAAAGCACACC